TTACTGTGTTTTAGTTTATTTTAAATGGAGTCATTTTCGGCTACGAATATGGGGTTGCCTGGGGAGTACGTGGGTGCCATTGGGGTGGTCATGGGTAATGGACGTTATGGCGTTGGGGGTCTAATGTGTCCGCATAGAAGAAGGAGAGACAGATAGCTAACACCTGTTCCTCTTTCTGGTTATTCCCCCAGCCTGAGGGTTCCAGGTAGTCCTGTCAATTGCCCCCCGGGCCTGTCGGTGCTGCTGCTTAATGCCAGGTCAGTCCAAAATAAATCATCCCTCATCCATGATTTGATTGTGGATGAGGGGGCCGACCTGGCTTGCATTACAGATACCTGGGTGGGAGAGGAGGGGGATGTCTCCCTCTCTCAACTGTGCCCATCTGGATATCTGATCCAGCACTGACCAAGCCTGGAGGGGAGGGGGGTAGCTCTGGTTTACCAAGCCTCTATTTCCCTCACGGGGCTTCCTGTCCTCTCGAAGCTGGGTCTAGAGTGCCTCTACTTGGTGTTGGGCGACCGAGACAGATTGGGAATTCTGTTGGTGTACCGTGCACCCTTCTGCCCAACAGACACCCTGCCTGAGCTGATGGAGATTGTCTTGGACTTGGTGTTGAAGACTCCCAGGATGTTGGTTTTGGGGGACTTCAATCTCCACGCCGAGATGGTTCTGACCGGGGCGGCTCAGGACTTCATGGCCTCCAGGGCAGCCATGGGGCTGTCTCAACACGTCATTGGCCCGACCCATGAATGTGGACACACTCTGGACCTGGTTTTCTCAACGGGGCAGGAAGAGGGGGATCTGAGGGTGAGGAACTTGTGTATGACACCTCTGCCATGGTCAGATCACTTCCTCATGAGGTTTGTACTCGAGAGCGGCCTTTCCCTCTGTAAGGGTGCGGACCCGATTGTGTGGGTCCGCCCCCAGAGCTGGATGGATCCAGATGGATTCCTGAAGGCCCTGGGGGACTTTCCGGTTGACAAGCCTGGTGTTCCTGTCGATGCCTTGGTTGAACTATGGAATGGGGAAATGACCAGGGCTATTGACACGATCGCTCCTAAGCGTCCTCTCCCACCTGGCAGAGCCCGTTCATCCCCTTGGTATGCATCTGAGCTATGGGCGATGAAGCAGGTTGGGAGACATCTAGAGCGTAGGTGGAGGAAATCACGGGATGAATCTGACCGAACACACTTAAGAGCCCCTTATCGGGCCGATGCTGTGGCGGTGAGGGCGGCGAAGAAGAAATTCTTCTCCACTTCCTTTGCCTCCTCACAATGCCGTCTGGTGGAGCTCTTTCGGGTGGTACAGGGGCTGGTTCATCCAGGCCCAAAAAAAGATCTTGTGCCACCCTCGACGGCCCACTGTGATGACTTCGCCAAGCATTTCAAGGAGAAAATCGCTCAGATTCATCACGAGCTGGACTCCACTAGTGACTCAGAACCTTCGGGGGAGGTGCCAATGTTGCCGTCTGATGGATGAGTTTCAATTGTTGCAGCCTGATGATGTGGACAAGGTGCTTGGGCAAGTACGTCCTACCACCTGCTTACTGGACCCTTGCCCATCTTGGCTACTCAAGAAAGCCAAGGACGGGTTTGGGACCTGGATCCTGGAGGTTGTCAACGCCTCTCTAAGGGACGGCCGGGTACCTGCCCCTTTAAAGGAGGCGGGAGTCTGGCCAGTCCTAAAGAAGGCATCCCTGGATCCAGAGGTGGCTGCCAATTACAGACCGGTGGCCAACATCCCGTTCTTGGGCAAGGGGTTAGAGCGGGTGGTGGCGGGACAACTCCAAGCACTCTTGGATGAAACTGATTATCTGGACCCATTTCAGTCCAGCTTCAGACCCGGGTACGGTACTGAATCTGCCTTGGTCGCCCTGTATGATGACCTGTGCAGGGAGAAAGAGAGGGGGAGTGCATCCCTGTTGGTTCTCCTGGACCTCTCAGTGGCTTTCGATACCATCGACCATGGTATCCAGAAGGATACCATGGT